AATGGTCTTAATATTGTAAATTTTGGAAACTCCCCGAGTCACTTATCACGACATTGATTCAGATTGTCCTCTGGATCTACCTCTTCCTCTGCTTCAATTAGAAGTTACCATAAATCTCTTAGATTACGCTGAATTGTCCCAGGATTTCTTAGGATAGTGTCGGGCAAAGTGACCAATCTCACCACACTGGAAACAAGATCCACTGAGAAATCTGCATACTCCACGGTGCAATTTACCACATGTCTGACATGGAGTTCTCTCTCCAAATGCTCTACCCGAGATAGCAGCAAAAAACTAGGACTGTTAGTTTTTTGCGAAGCTGTAGCAGAACCATCTCTGTCAGTATATTAGAAACTCGAGCCCTTACCTCTCTTAGCATGATGGGGAGTTGAAGGCGTTCCAACTCTTTTCCCCATCTCTATACTCTGCTCTGCTGCTAGGGTCTCCTCTTGATCTCTTTCAATAGCCTTGTTTGGTTTATGACTTCTTGCAAGCTAGGAAAGTTCAAAGCCAACATCATCTCATTTAACTTTGGCCTCATACCTTCAATGAACCAATCACGTCGAGCCTTGTCATTGGAAACTACCTCGGTAGTAAAACGACTCAGCTTATTGTACTCAGCCTCATACTCATGTACTGCTCGATCACCTTGTTTCAAATTAAGGAACTTTAGCAGCATCGCCCATCAAACTGCTCTCCCACATACTTGTTCTTGAATTCAACCTGGAATAATTGACAGGTCACTTGTTCAGGTGGTGCATACATCATAGTATTTAACCACCATACTCTAGTTGATCCCCGAAGTAAAGATAAAACTCCACCCAAATTTTCAAAATCCGAGCAATGAAGACTTTCAAGCATTACCATAACATCATTTATCCATAAGTAAGCCTCCATATGACCCTCATCCTCTTCTCCCCATAACTCTAGAGTTCCCAAACTCTCTTTAGCTCTTTTGGGATCAGCATCCTCGGTACTGGAGGAGGAGAGGGAGGTGGAGGAGGTTGGAACCTAGTCAGAATAGCATCAAAATCTTGCATAAAAGCTCCAAACTCAGGCACTGGCATACCCTGATGTGAAGGTGCACTAGCATTCTCGGATGGAATCGAATGCTCACTATTTTTCTCATAGCTTTCGCTACCCGATCCTTCTCTATTTTCTCGTTGGGCCTCTCTTCGCGAATTTGAAGAATCCGACATCTTCTAAGACATATATAATAATAACACTAAGTTAGTAAGGAATGTCCCCAATCACACTCTAATGACACCATATCAGTAACCTTGACAATCTTAATGGCATGTAATCCTTTTTTCTAAATTCAAATAAACCCAGTTTCATCCAGAATCAGCTAAACCTATATCTCTGATACCAATAAATGTAACACACATTTCCTATATACGTTTCCGTACACGAATCACAAGTGTCACATGACTTTTTAAAACATTTTCCTATTTGTAACCCATAAAATTTTATTCCGTAAATAAAACAAAACATTTTAAAATATAAAATAAAACATTCGTTTTAACATATTATGAAAATCATCACTTTAATACATTCCAGAGTATTTTTCTTAAATTAATATACATGACATCTAGTTATCAAAAGAATACATAATTGTCCTACTGTTACTGATGAGTCAACCTTGGATTGATGATGTTAGTTGCACTCCTTACTCTGCTAGTCTTTGCTTTTACCTACACCTGAAATCAATACACGTTAAGTATTTTCTTAGTTAGACAATATAGTGTAAATGCACTGAAATGCATACATAAGCATATCATGGCTATTAAAGTACGAACTAAATTGTATACTTCCTAAAAATTAGTTAACCATGTCAGTTAAACCAAGTTTTGTTCATATAGTCGTCAAAATTATTCTTAGAATGCCCAGCATACCTATATTTTTGTATATTTTCCCAATTATCCTTTATTCTGCCCAATTATCCTTTATTTTACCCAACGTATGTTAAATAAGAATGTAAGATAAATGCATTGCACCGAAGTGCCGAAATGATCATTCACCTTTTATGAATACCATGAATGGCACATTTTATACTAAAAATGCACTATTATGCATTTAAGTTTCATTAGTGGCACCTTTATGCCGAAATACACTGTTACGCATTTAACTTTCATTAATGGCACCTTTTATGTCGAAATGTGTCGTTATGCATTTAACTTTCATTTGTGGCACCTTTTATGTCAAAATGAACTGTTATACATTTAACTTTCATTAGTTGAACTTTTTATGCTGAAATGCACCGTTATGCATTTAACTTTCATTAGTGGCACTTTTTATGCGAAAATGCACCGTTATGCATTTAACTTTCATTATAGAATAGTTCATACTCTAAAACATATTCATAATATCATTCCTATATACGTTATGAAAATATACCAAAATGATGTAAAAATACATTTAACAAAACATTCGAAGTTAACTCATCGTGAGTCTTCCTTCTTTTATTACAAGTACAATAAATGCACTCGCCTGATATGCCTCGCTAGTATGTTGTAATGATGTCCGACTATTCGACAACTTTATTTTTGCCCATTTTTCCCCTTGACTCAGGAGCTTGGTTATTATCTATACAAGCATCCATTAAGTGCACATACCATACCAATGCTAGTATACTCTCTAACATTTATACTTTTAATAATACTAAAAAGTACTATTATATTCAATTTCTATCAAAATTCATCCTATCTTAAATTTTCCATGCTCAATAGTATTGGTACCCCTACCATGGTATCGATACTTCTATACTATGGTACCGATACTCCTTTTCAGTACTGATACTCCCTTTCAGTATCGATACCATTTCTATATTCTGGAATCCATGGTATCGATACCTTCTTCTGAGTATCGATACCCATATCAGTATTGATACTAATTGCATCAGTATTGATATTGTTCATCGAATTTCTTCAAATTTAAACCTATAGTATCAGTATTGTTCTTCCAGTAGCAATACCCTTACCCGGATTTTCTATTTTTCAGCTCGATTTTTACCCTAACTTCGTTTAAATATCTTATTTTTACCTCTAACAATACCATTAAACTCCCCATTACTTAACCCAACTAAATTTCCTCCATTTAGCTTCTTATTACACCCAATTTCTTTAAATAACACGCCAAACCAAGAATCATACTACTTTTTCTAACATGTTTTTAATCACATCCAAGACTTCTAATCTCTTATTTAGTTCTTTGACAAGTCAAATATACTTGTAAACATCAATAAAAACTTATTAGTTTTAATCCTCTTTAACCCTTCCTTAAGCTTACACATCACTTAAAGTTTCAAGAACAAACAAAAAACGAAAGGACAAACTAGCTAAATGAAGCCTTACCTTTGGCTATGGAGGAGAGCACGGGCAAGAGGGAAGAAGAAGAGAACTTATCTTGTTTATCCCCTTTTTCCCCTTTTATTAAATAACCTACATAAAATGAATTTTAAATATATTTACCTCTAATGGACCAAAATACCCTTTCATTCTTCCATTCTTCCATTCTTCCATTCTTCCATTCTTCCATTCTTACTAATTGGTCTTAATCACAATTTCTAAATCATTTCTTATACTTTACCATTTATTTAATTTAATCCTCCAAATTTTAAATCATTTTAATTATAGTCACTTACCCGATATTTGGGGTATTACATATTCGGTATCTAGCATTTTCTATCGTTTATAAGTCTGCCCCGACTATTTTTTCCATCCAAAAGTGATGATATGATGTTCTCATAAAAAGCCACACGGCACAACTAGAGAATATAAAAAATAAAATCTAAAACTTAAAACTTAAAAAATAAAAAATGTAAAAAACAACTTTTAATAATCATTTGTTTTAAATAATATTTTATATTTATAAATAAATTTTAGGTTTTTAAAAAAAATAAAAATTGTTTAAAATGTAAAAATTATTACATATATATTATATTTCTTTATAATAAATTTTTTTTATATTTTTAGCTTTATAATTTTTGTCACTTGGCATTACAAGGAAGTGTTACATGTCCTCTGAAAGTATCACATCATCCAATGGGGTGAAAGTAATAACAATAAAAAAACGTTAAATACTTGAATTATAGAAAAAAATAATTTAAATACTTAAAATTAACAAATTAGATACTTTTGGATGTTTTATCATAAAGCCTAATGTATTTTATCATTCTTAGGTTGATTTTGATGCATCCGTGCATTAATAAAGTTTTGTGTAACTTCATATTCTACTTATTTTTGTCTAATGTTTTAGTTTATTACATACTTTTGTATAATTATTATAACAATCGATTTTAACTTCGAATTCATTAATTCAGAGTCCAATCTTTTTATAGTATATTAATACAAATATCATTAAGATTTAAATCAATTCAAATTGAATGAATCAACATTTGTTTATGTTTATCCATTTAATTTTAAGTTTGTTGATGTTTAGTTTGTATTTATTAAAAAATTTATAATTATATTTAAGTTCATTCATTAAAAAACTGTATTTATGTTCATTTATTTAATGTTTACGAACATTAAATGAACATATTGATAAATATATTCACGAACAAACACAAATTTATGCTGAGAAAAACCTAAAGAGTGGTCCTAGTTGGCATTGGAGTATATGTTTTCTTAGATGACTTAGATTCAAATAACGTTATCTGTAAAGTGTTTGTAACTTTATACAAACATGAAAAAAATGACATATTACAATGGGACCACAACAGAGAACATTAAAAAATAATTATGAATAATAAAAATAAATAAATAAACATAATTCTTATTTTAAATATAAGATGATCAAACATTAATATTATTAATTATATTATAAATTAATTAATAAAACAAAATATTTTTATAGGAAAATTAGCAAACTTAAATAAACACAATAATAAGATTATCTGAGGTATTAACATGAATTGTTTATTCAACTTAACACTTAACATGGTTGGTAAAATTATTTGTTGATGAACCTATTAAAGTTAGTTAAAGTTATTAGGTGGATTAGGGTTGGAAGTTGATATTAAACCTAGAAAGGAATTGCATTTGTTTCAGAAGAGGGGTTAGGGTTTCCATTAGCTTCTCGCAAGGATGGTTGTGAATTCCCTCGTAAGTAGTCTCCACGATGCTGCTGTCTTTTGCCAGCCTCTGAACTTGTTTCTTCACGTTGCATGTGGGATGTGTACATCGGTAATAACTCCTAATTCATTTATAAATCAATAAATAAACATCTATATAAAAAATTGTCTCAAGTGTTAATATATAGGGTAAGGGAAAAAATATCCCTCCACTATAAAACGTTACTTTGTTGTGTTCTCTGATTATTAATAGGTATAAAATGATCTCCTGACTATAATATATTGTTTTATTGAGTCACCCAACTATTAAAAGTTATAAAAATTATCATTCGACTATTATATGTTCTAAACTCGTCATTTTCCATTAAAAACTTGACAGTCATTTGTGTTGGACTTAACTTGCCGATAAGTATATAATAAAATCATATTTGAATGATGTCTATCGGCACTACCGTTACTTTCAAGCACTGACTCAATCATATAACGTAAATAGACAATGAATTTAAAAAATACAACTCAAACAATTTTAAGATCAGGTTTTATCATATCTAAGTTAACATGTTAACGTTTAACTCAGATGACTACCAAACTTTTAATGAAAAATGATGAGTGAGGAACATATAGTAGTGAAGTGATCATTTTATAACTTTTAATAGTCGTTTAAGACTCAACAAAGCAATATCCTATAATCAATATATCCTTTTATATCTTATAATAGTCATAGAAACTCAATAAAATAGTACTGAGGAGATCATTTATGTACTTTACCCTAATATGTATTCCATGCAAAATTAGTAAACAAAAAATGCGTCGAAAGCCAAGAACAAATAAACATGGCAAAGTGCGAGAGTATATAAGAGAAAAAACAGCAGTTTTGATCGAAAACAAACCTTGGATAATTGCTATTTTTAACGGCTTTTTGCCCATACTTTCTCCACCGATACCCATCGTCCAAAATATCATCAGCACTCCTGGTTTGGAACGCAAACCTCGGCCGGATTGTCTTTTTGAACCGACAACCTTTCCTCTTGCCATTCTCAGTCTCTCCGTTTTGGCCCATCAAAGAAGAAGCTTCAACCATTGGCTTGCTCTGATCATCATGACCCAAAAAAGATTGACCGGATAGGAGGCTAACCCAATCAATATCGGGGATAATTTCAGTATCTAAAGGAGGGTGTTGTGAGGAGGATGGGGTTGAGAGGAAAGGAGGGGTAAGTGGTGGTAATAACGGTGGCACAGCCGGCGGTGACGTGGTTTCTTGGCCATCCATAGCTGAAGAAGCTAAAAGTCTGAGGGCTCCACAGAGAATGTTAGGGGAGAAAATAATAAAAAGGAAGTGGGAATGTTTGAGAAATGAAGGTTAAAGGGAAGCTGGAAGAGGGATGGACTACTCCCACATAGAGATTTAGAAGAATGGGGGAAAAGAAAAGGAATGATGGAGTTTTAGGAGAGGGGGCTATATATATATATAACTTTGATCGACACAACATCTCACCTACATTTGTTCAACTGCCCCTTCCCATCCCATCCCTTCAAGTAATAAAAGACGTCTTCCCAATCCTATACATGCTGCCTTCACAACACGTTATCACCCCAAGCATGCATTCATATATGTATATATATATATATAAACACACTTATCTTAGAGGTAAAAGAGAATATTATTTTCATTAAAGAATTTGAGTTTAAATTGTTGTTTCTAAAAAGTATGGGTGCATTGTCGATAGATTAAAAAATTAATTTTAGATATTTTGTCATTTTAATTGTACAAATTTTATATCAACTTTTACATTAGATTTTCAAGTTAAAATTAGAATTATAAAACCTATCATTGTAATTTTTTTTAGGCTTAAAGTAAAAAGAAATGCCTAAACTATATTCATATTTTGCTTTAAGCTCCTAAACTATTTTTCTTGTCAAAATAAGTCTTTAAATTATTGTACATAACCCTTTAAGTCCTATTTTTTCAGTTAAAAAATTCTTTTTCGACATAAAATTATTTACTTGTTTTGACTAAAAAGTAGTTTAGGGGCTTAAAAAAAGATGAACATAATTTAAGGACTTGTTTGACCAAAAAATAGTTTAGATATTTAAAATGATTATGTATAAAAGTTTAAGAACTTATTTTGACAAAAGAATAATTTAGAGGCTTAAAGAAAAAGAAAGATATAGTTTAGGGGGGGAAATTCGTTCAAGGTTTTAGGAAAAATATATCTAGTTTTGAGATGAGACAAAAGTTGCAAAACTTGCTTTGTCCCACTGGTTGAACCAATTAATTCAACGACAGGTTCAAATTATTAGGAGCTGAGATTATGTCCCTCATTAAATTTAAGTCAGATGGTCGATGACCGTGGAAGAAGAGTCCCATGGTAGGTCACCCGCAAGACTTGGGAAATTCATTTCCCATGCGGTCAAAATACCAATTTTCTCTACCCTTTAGTTTTATTAAGTCATCTACATTTACCCACCATCCTGGAAGTTAGACAAAGGAATTGTTCAGCCAATCACAACAGCTTAAAACCAAAACTTACTTTTGTTGTTCATCATACAACCAAGACCATGGGTGGTCGTACAAATTAGATGCAACCATTATTGATTCAAAGATGAGATAGAAAATTAATAGCAGCAAAGTGATATGAATACAATATTAAAAAAATTATTATGCATTAATAGTCACCAACAAATCGAAAATGTTGGCAAGTCAATCCATCTCTTGGCCAATGAGCTTTTCATTATTTCGCCGAATTGACTCAAGTTCAAATGTTCAGTTGTATAGTCTTTGTAATACCCCAAATATTGGGTCAGTGACTATAATTGAAAGGATTTAAAATTTGGAGGATTAAATTTAATAAATGGTGAAGTATAAGAAATGATTTAGAAATTGTGATTAAGACCAATTAGTAAGAATGGAATAATGAAAGGGTATTTTGGTCCTTTAGAGGGAAATATATTTAAAATTCATTTTATTTAGGGTATTTAAGAAAAGGGGAAAAGGGGGATAAACAAGTTCTCTTCTTCTTCCCCGTTGCCCGTGCTATCCTCCAAAGCCAAAGGTAATGCTTCATTTAGCTAATTTTTTTCTTTCGTTTCCGGTTTGTTCTTGAAAGTTTAAGTGATATGTAAGCTTAAGGAATGGTTAAAGAGGATTAAAACTAAGAAATGGATGACTTATTTGAGATTGAAGAAAATGGGGTTTTGAGTGATTTGTTGAAATATTAGTTTTTATTGATGTTTACAAGTATATTTGACTTGTTAAGGAACTAAATAAGAGATTAGAAACCTTGGATGTGATTAAAAACATGTTAGAAAAAGTAGCATGATTCTTGGTTTGGAGTGTTCTTTAGAGAATTTGGGTGTTATAAGAAGCTAAATGGAGGAAAGTTAGTTGGGATAAGTAATGGTGAGTTTAATGATATTATTGGAGGTAAAAGTAAGAGATTTAAACGAAATTAGGGTAAATATCGAGCTGAAAATGGAAAATATGGGTAAGGGTATCGGTACTAGAAGAACAATACCGATACTATAGGTTTAAATTTGAAGAAATACGATGAACAGTATCGATGCTGATGCAATTAGTATCGATACTGATGTGGGTATCGATACTAAGAAGAAGGTATCTATACCATGGATTCCAGAATGCGGAAATGGTATCGATACTGAAAGGGAGTATCGGTACCATAATATAGAAGTATTGATACCATGGTAGGGGTACTGATACTATTGAGCCTGGAAAATTTAAGATATGATGAATTTTGATAGAAATTGAATATAATAGTACTGTTTAGTATTATTAAAAGTATAAATGTTAAAGAGTATACTAACATTGGTATGGTATGTGCACTTAATGGATGTTTGTATAGATCATAACCAAGCTCTTGAGTCAAGCAAGAAAAATGGCAAAGATAAAGTTGCCGAATAGTCGAATATCATTACAGCATACTAGCGAGGCATATCAGGTGAGTGCATTTATTGTACTTGTAATAAAAAAGGAAGACTCACAACGAGTCAACTTAGAATATTTTGTTAAATGTATGTTTTTACAACATTTTGGTATATTTTCATAATATATATAGGAATGATATTCTGAAAATATTTTAGAGTATGAACTGCTCTATAATGAAAGTTAAATGAATAACGATGCATTTTGGCATAAAAGGTGCCACTAATGAAAGTTAAATGCATAACGGTGCATTTCAGTATAAAATGTGCCACTAATGAAAGTTAAATGCATAACGGTGCATTTTCGGCATAAAATGTGTGACTCATTGTATTCATAAAAGGTGAATAACTATTTCGTCACTTCGGTGAAATGCATGTACCTTACATTCTTATTTAACATATATTGGGAAAAATAACAGATAATTGGGAAAATATACAAAAAGATAGGTATGTTAGGCATACTAAGAATAGTTTCGTTGACTATATGAACGAAACTTGGTTTAACTGACATGGTTAGCTGGTTTTTGTTGTATACGATTTAGTTCGTACTTCAATAGCCATGATATGCTTATGTGTGAATTTTAGTTCATTTACATTATATTGTCTCACTAAGTAATTACTTAACGTGTGTTGATTTCACGAGTAGGTAAAAGCAAAAACTAGCAGAGTAAGTAGTGCAACAAAGATCATCAATCCAAGGTTGACTCATCAGTAATTGTAGGACAATTACGTCTTCTTTTGATAACTAGATGGCATGTATATGAATTTAAGAAAAATGCTCTGGAATGTATTAAAGTGATGATTTTTGTAATATGTTAAAACGAATGTTTTATTTTATATTTTAAAATGTTTTGTTTTATTTACGAAACAAAATTTTATGGGTTACAAATAAGAAAATGTTTTAAAAAGTCATGTGACACTTGTGACTTGTGTACGAAAACGTATACGGGAAATGGGTATTACATTTATTGGTATTAGAGCTACAGGTTTAGCCGATTCTCAACCGAAACTGGGTTTATTTGAATTTAGGAAAAGGGATTGCATGGCATTAAGATTGTCAAGGTTACTGATATGGTGTCATTAGAGTGTGATTGATGACACTTCTAACTAAATTTAGTGTTATTATTATGTATGTCCTAGAAGATGTCAGAATCTTCAAACTCGCGAAGAGCGGCCGAACGAGAAAATAGAGAAGGATCGGGTAGCGAAAGCTATGAGGAGAATAGTGAGCATCTAATTCCATCCGAGAATGCTAGTGCACCTGCATATCAGGGTATGTCGGTGCCTGAGTTTGGAGCTTTTATGCAAGCTCTCGATGTTATTCTGACTAGGTTTCAACCTCTTCCAGCTCCCCCTGCTCCTCCAGTACCGAGGATGTTGATCTCAAAAGAGCTGAAGAGTTTAGGAAGGTCCTATGGAGGCTGACTTATGGCTAAATTATGTTATGGTAATGCTTGAAAGTCTTAACTGCTCGGATTCTGAAAAGCTGGGTGGAGTTGTATTTTTACTTCGGGGATCAGCTCAAGTATAGTAGTCATATACTATGATGTATGCATCATCGGAGCAAGTGACCTGGCTGTTCTTTTAGGAGGAATTTAAGAACAAGTATATTGGTGAGCAGTTTAAACAGGCGATGCTGCTAAAGTTCCTTAGTTTGAAACAAGGGGATCGAACAGTACATGAGTACGAGGCTGAATACAACGAGCTGAGTTGTTTTGCTACTGAGGTAGTTCCCAATGACAAGGCTCGACGTGATTGGTTCATTGAAGGTTTGAGGCCAAAGTTGAAAGAGATGATGTACCATTTGAACTTGCCTAGTTTGCAAGAAGTTATAAATCGAGCTAAGGCTATTGAAAGAGCTCTGTCGAAAAGGTCCCTGCCAGTTTTTTAGGGCTTTTTCTAGGATCGATCCAACTTAATATTTGGACATGTTGGGTTTTAAAATAAATAAATACATGGATTTGGAGTCTCCATCGATCTTTTGGGTTAGGTAATTCGAATACCTAAAAATACCTTTTAAAATAATTTTAAAAGATAAAAATTTGATATACATTTGATCAGAGATTCTCTTTGAAAACGGGTTTGGGATTCGGTTACGTGTGGGGAAGGATTAGCACCCTCACAGCGCCCAAAAATTGGTACCTAAGTGATGTTATCTTAATATTAAAATTGGCAAATTCGAATAATAATCCTCGAAAAATATCTTTCTATCCAGTTAAGGAGGTATTTTTATGGATTACTCGTAAAAAAAGTATTACCCTAAATTCAAATACAATAAATATAAAAATAAATTTATTTAAAAAATATAAAAAAATTATTTTATTTGAGCAGTAGTTAGAAATATAGTCCTTGTTAGTTAAGGGGTATTTCATTTAATTTCTCGTATGTATAAAAAATTATTTTAATAAAAAATCTACAAATATGTTAATAAAGGGTAAAATAATAAATATAATAATTTTAGGGATTAAATT